TTCCCAGCTGTGAGGGGTGCAGCACCCTGGGAGCTTCAGGAGCATCACCGAGGCTCGGTGCAGGCACTGCTGGCTGTTTGCCACCCCAGCGCTCCACTTCTCCTCTTCTCCCTTGTGGGAGTGGATGTCAAGCTCCTGGCTACAAAACCTCGGCCTGAACCCAGCGGGCAGGAGGTGGAGACACCCTCTGAGATGGCAGAGGTGTATTTTCTGTGAAACCAAACCACCCCTGCCATTAGCTGCGTCGTGCCCAGCTTGCAACCAGCAAGCAAGAATTCCCGGATACCCTTCTAATTCCCTCTCCACGGCACGTGCCCCTGGGGCTCTGCCTCTTCCCAGCCAGTTTGCTGACATAGTTTTGCTGCTGGCCGGTTTCAGACAGCACCCTGCTGCTTGTCCTGCCTGCGTGGGGAACTGCCAGTACTTCTGCGGCTTTCTCCTCCGTGTTATCTGTCCTAGCCACTTCACTCCGTGTTGCGGGGTGCGTTTCTTCCAGCTGAGGTAAATCAAGGGCATTGTTTTAGTTGTGTTTTTTTCCTTTTTTTTTTTTTTTTTCCCTGAAGGCTGCTTACTTGGGAGTTTTCTCCCCAAAGCTGCTTGCAGGTGTTTGCCCAGGATGCTGTGCTGTTCGCTGCCCTCTGGTTCCTAAAGAGCCACAGCAGGGTGGGCTTCTCCCGAGGAGATGGAGATCCTTGCCCTTCAGTCCTCTCTAAAGATCCACACTGACAGCCCTTTCACCCCGAAATCCACCACCAAGACCCCATTCAGAAGGTGGAAATTTTCAGGCGACGGATAACATTTGGCACCCAAATCCCACTGGGAGCCAATTCCCTCGGCCTTTCAGCATCCCCAGCACCACAGGACGCACCCAGTGACTCGCTGGGGAAAACCAGTGCTGATCCCAGCTGCCGAGGGTGAGCAATGCCCAGCACCTCCTCCCGGGCTGCCTGCCTGCTGCCACCAGGGAGGCTGGATCCTGCACTGCCGGCTGCCAAGCTGATGAGTACGCAAGGTCTGAGGGTCACGGGACAGGCAGGCAGGAACTGCAGTGACTTCATCCCTGCTGTGGCCTCGCTCACCCTTTGACGGGCCTTCACCACCTCGTTAACTCTTTCTCTTTGCCAGGCGTCACGAGACTCGTGCCTGGTGTGAGGATTCATCCCCACCAGGTAACGCGTGGAAGATGAGAAGTGCTCTGCCCACCTCGCAGGCAGGACTCGGTGCCCCGCGGGGAGGAGGGTTTGTGGAGCTGCTGAGGCTTGTCCCAGCCCTCAGGAAGCAACCAAAGCTGCCTCAGCCCTCGGTGAGGTGGCTGTTCCTGGCTCACAGCAGAAAACCGGCTCCTGTGGAGCATCCCTGTGAGATACTAAGATAATTTTAGGGGATGGGAGCACCTGGCACGTGAGGACAGGCTGAGAGAGCTGGGGCTGTTTAGCCTGGAAAAGAGAAGACTGAGGGGAGATCTCCTCAATGTGTATAAATATCTGAAAGGATGGTGTCAAGAAGATGGAGCCAGTCTCCTTTCAGCTGTGCCCAGTGACAGGACGAGAGGCAGTGGGCACAAACTTCAGCACAGGAGGTTGGGGCTGAATATGTGGAGGCACTTCTGTACTGTGAGGTGACAGAGTGCTGGGACAGGCCGCCCAGAGAGGTTTTGGGGTTTCCTCTGGAGATATCCAAAACCTGCCTGGATGCCATCCTGCACAAAGTACTCCAGGTGATCCTGCTCGGCAGTGGGGTTGGACCAGACGAAATGCAGAGGGCCCTGCCAACCTCGGCCATCCTGTGGCTGTGACTCCGTGAGACAAACTCCTGCCATGACTCAGCCCTGGGTGGCCCCCAGGGTGGTTCCTCTGGAGAAATATCTACCAGGTGCTGCACATGGAGTGTTTTCCAGGCAGTCCTGAGGTGCCCGTGCAGCCAAGCACGAGTTCTTCACCTCTCTCCATTGGGTGGTGTGGGCAAGGTCCCCTAACACACACCAGGCCCTCATCCATATGCCACCGTGACCCCCTCCCTTTTCCTGGGGGCTCTTCACCTTTCAGTAGGGTTTGCTGCCCAGAGTCTGCTCTGAAAGAGGGTTCCTGGTTCCAGTTCAGACATGATTTCCCTGCTCGTGACAGGATTGCCACATCGGCGATTCCCCCAAAGCCCACTCACCTGCAGGCACTCGAGTGACTCACGGCCAGCAGCCAAGTGCCTGCTGCACTTCTGCGAAACAACGCTGCTGGGTTTTGTCACACACTGCCCTCACGTAACATCCTCATGCTCTGCCTTGGTGCCAATCTCCTCTCTTGGAGCTGAACTCCAGTGTTAGCTTGGCCCCGCGGTGTCTGTGGGTGCTGACTGTGTACCCACAGATACAACTCGAGGTGCCACTGTGGGGAAGTCCTTGCCAGGTGCCCCCAGGATGTGCAGTTAAAGGTGTAAGTTAAAGGTTTTTGGGGTGTGTGATCCCTAGGAGGAGGCGTAAGAGGCTGCTTTGATGCTTTTGGATAGGCTGCTTTTGGAGCACCTCTCCTACGAAGAGATGCTGAGAGAGGGAGCTGGGACCGTTCAGCCTGGAGCAGAGGAGGCTCAGGGGGGATCCCATCGATGTGTACAAATAGCTGAAGGGAGGGTGCAAAGAGAAGAGCCAGGTTCTTTTCAGCAGTGCCCAGTGCCAGGACAAGAGGCAATGGGCACAAACCTGCACACAGGAGGCTCCCTGTGAACACCAGGCAGCACTTCTGTGCACTGGGGCCGGGAGGAAGACGCTCTCCTTTCAAGGCTGGACATCCCCGTTTCCAGCCCCTAATGCCATTTCTCAGATCTTTAAGCACGGAGCCACCATCAGCTATAGATGTACAAGCTCTAGACAAAACCTAACCCTTGCACACCAATGTCCAGAGGACCAAAGGCAGAGTTGCAGAGCCTGAGCTACCTGTTGTGGGTTATCACCCCAGCCCACAATGGCTTTTAAAAGACACAGCACAAATCAGTCTGTGGCTGCTTTCCCTAACACCCATTGCTCTCTCTGTCCCTTCCTGCAGACTGAACCCGACCTACAGTGCAGATGCCAAATGACCCTCATTAAAAGGATGATGGTATTTCCAGTGGCATGGATCCAAACCGCCTGAACTCATCCGGGCAGGACGCAGACACTGCAGGCACTGGGGCACACGGACATGGTCCCACTGTTAGGAGCTGTCCTCATCCCAAGTGTGCTCAGCCCCTGCAGCCCTTATCCCCCGGGGACACCTTGCAGATGGAGGGCAGCACCACTTGCAGCGCTGCTATTGCAGCTGTGCTCAATTGTCGAAGGCACAGGATGCTTCAATCACACAAGAAACACACTCACAATTTGTTTTGCAGCTCCAAGCACTCTTGCGGCTTAAACGCTATCCCCTTTCACACAAAAAATAGCTGGCCCATAAGGAAAGGGTTTTGCTGCCCCAGAGAGCTCACTCTGGTGCCCTTGCACTTGACTTTTAGTTTCTGCCTGTGCTCAGGCTCGCCGCAGCTCTCGACCACTTTCTGCCCTGCTGTGCAGGTGCGAGCAGCATGCAGGAGCTGCAGGCATCCAGCACCACTCCCGACCTGCACAGCCTCCCCAGGGCTTCCATGCTGTTACCTGCATCGTCATCGAGGGTGAATGCACAGCACCGGCACTAGCAAGCGCCAGATGCCCGTGGTAGTGAGCAGCACAGCCAGGGAGCGTGGGTGGTGCAGGCTGGATTAGGGCAGCTGATCCTCCCCAGCCCACGCGCCTGTTGCTCACTCCTTCCCTCGGCCTGAGGAGCAGAGCAGCGGCTCTGTCCCCTCTGCCACAAATTCCCGGTGTGAAGACAGGCTCAGCACAGCACCGGGCAGCTCCATTGCAATACCTGCACAAAGTGCCCTGTGTCTGCCAAACGAGCTGTGGTGGCTGTCAGTGCACCACAGCCTGGGCTGCACTGCAAGGTGGCAATCGTTAATGTTCTGTAACGCCTCTGCTAACAAGTACCCAATGAGTTATGTTTACAGATGTCCATACATATTGTCATGTATAATCTTGGGTTTTAAATATTTGTGCTATGGATATTCACCTCTGTAGTATTATATGAATAGCTGTATGTGTATATGTATAAACATAGTGCTTTGCAAACATGCATATATAAAGCATACATACATAAAACATACATACATAAAATAAAATGTGGTGATACAAAATGCAAACGTAAGGAACATACAGTTAGAAAACTTTCTGTATATAATTCTCTCTGTGAGGCTGCACCTCGAGTGCTGTGCTCAGCTCTGGGCCCCTCAGTCCCAGAAGGACATCGAGGCCCTGGAGCGTGCCCAGAGCAGGGCTACGAAGCTGGGGAAGGGCCTGGGGCACAAGTCCTGTGAGGGGTGGCTGAGGGAGCTGGGGGTGGTTGGTGTAGGGAAGAGGAGGCTCAGGGGAGACCTCATTGCTCTCTGCAACTGCCTGAAAGGAAGCTGTGGGGAGCTGGGGGTCGGCCTCAGTGATAGGACCAGAGGGAATGGCCTCAAGTTGTGCCAGGGGAGGTTCAGGTTGGAAATGAGGAGACATTTCTGCTCAGAAAGAGCAGTCAGGCACTGGGACGGGTTGCCCAGGGAGGTGGTGGAGTCCCCATCCCTGGGAGTGTTCAAGGAGAGGTTGGACGTGGTGCTTGGGGACACGGCTCAGTGGTGACATTGGTGGCAGGGGGTGGCTGGGCCAGGTGAGCTCCCCCCGCCCCCACAGCCCTATCACTGCACACGGCACGAAGGGGGCGTGGCTCCGAGCCGGGTGGGCGCGTCCCTGCCGGGCTCCGGCCCCGCCCCCATAAACACGGCCACGTGCGGCGGCGGCGGGGCCGGGCCGGGGCCGCGCTTCCGGCAACACGGGGCGCGCCGCCCATAAAGCAGCGCCCGGCAACGCCGCGCCCGCAGCCGGCACCCGGCGGCACCGAGACCCCGCGGCACCGATCCCAGCCCCGATCCCAGCCCCGGTCCTAATCCCGATCCCAGCCGCCATGCCGTTCCTGGGGCAGGACTGGCGCTCCCCCGGGCAGAGCTGGGTGAAGACGGCCGACGGCTGGACGCGCTTCCTCGACGAGAAGAGCGGCGGCTTCGTCGGCGACATCAGCAGGTACCGGCCCCGGTGGTGCCCCCCTTTTGGGTCCTGGTCCCTTTTTGGGTCCCCGTCCCGGCCCCAGCCGCCGCCAGAGGGCGCAGGGTGTGGGGAGCCGCCGTTATGGTCCCCGGGGGGACACCCCAAAATGGATGGGGGCGCTGGTTTGAGGGTCACCAGGGTCTGGGGGGTTATAGGGGATGGGTATGGGGTGGGGAGCCGCGGGCTGGACCCGTCGCCCTCTGGGGAAAAGCCCCCCCTCGGTTGTCTGAGGGGCTTGTATAGGGCACTGCAGACTTAGGGGATGTTGATTTTTGGGGTGTTTGGGGTTGGGTTTCATCCTGGAGCCGCTCAGGGAGGTGCTGAGCCCCATTTGGGGTTCTCAGCGCTTCCCCTTCTCCTAAAACCCCGCCGGAGCCGCGCAGGCTCCCGGCTTCGTCACATGCTGGGAGTCAGCCCTGAGTCACCAGGCAGCGTTCTGGTTCTGCAGCTCGGGGAATAAACACGGCCCCAAACCGCAGCCCGGCTCCCCTGCTGCTGGGGACAGGGGGGCAAAGCAGCCCCGGGTCCCTTGGGGCTGGACCTGCTGGGCTGTGGGGCAGGGGCTGTGCTGCCACCCGAGGCTCGTCTCCTGCAGAAATAGAGCTGCAGAGCCCCCTGTAACCCCACTCTGGGGTGTGCTGTAATTTGGAAATAGGCTGGGCAACGGCAGCCTTTTATTCCTCAGCCTCCTTGAAGGAAATGTCACACTCGCTGTCCCCTTGGCTGTGGGGTTTTGCCCATAAGGAGTGCCACTGAAAATCTCCTTGTTACCTACTACCTTCACGGGGGAGTTCTGGAGGTAACCTGCCCTCCCTCCTTCCTTCTCCAGCAGCAAACCCTTCCTTAGGCTTCCCATTTCCTGAGCTGGAGGAGTATGATGTGTCTGAAGCCATAAATCTTCCCCCCAGATTATGGGAAGCTCGCCTTATGTGCGGCTTGATTAATCTGACTGCAGAGGGACTAAACCCCCGGGATGGTTTAAGCGCTGTGAAACTGCGCGGTTGAGGGCAGGAAGCAGCGGTACGGGTGCGATGGGTCCTGGCCAGATCGCCCCTGTCAAAACCACCCTTTTCCTGCGAGCTGCGCCTTGTTTTCAGCTCTGCCCAGCGAGGTCTGGCTGCGAGGGGACAGGAATGTACGTGACAGCGGCTGGGAGCAAACGGGGGATTTGCTGTGAGCCACGGGTGAGATCCTGTTGTGCAAGGAGGCTTACGCGGTGGCTCTTTATCTTCCCCTCCTTTGTGCAAGCTCTAAATCAAGCTCAGAATGCGAAACAGCTATTTTGTAAATAGGTAGAAAAATGTCTGGCTGGCAGGAGTCAGCGCGTTGGGAACACTGAGGTTTGGCCTGGGTTTAGGCATCTTCCTCGGTCAAAAGAGAGGAGAGTCCTGGACCGAGGTCCATGCGGTGTGAGGTCCCGGTGCCTGACCCTTCAACCTGTCCAGGCTCCTTGGAGAGCAATTCGGAGATCTGTCAGTACTCAGACAGGGGAACAATCTGCCTCCCATGCTGGAATCCGTCCACCGCTGCTGTTATGAAGGCTTCGGGTTACGGAGTCATTCAGTAGGAAGTCAACAGCCCGGGGTGTGCTGCTGACATGTCAGATTTAAAGCAGATCTCTCGTGCTCTTGGGCTTGGATTCTGGGCATGTTCGCCTGGCCCACTCCCGATTTTTGTGCGGCTTTGATAAAGTAGGAGCTTGGACTGCTCACAAATGGTTTTGACTGCCGTGTGCTGTTTGGGTTTGGTCCCCCAGTGTGAAGCAGCACAGGCAGGGGAAGCGAGCAGCTGAGATGTTTTGCTCTCAGATTTAGCTTCTGACCCTGGGGACTGCCCAGCTGAGCTGGTGGAAGTGTCCCCGTGCTGTGAGAGTTGTCCACCTGCATTTGTTTCCCTGCCCGTAGTGGTGCTGTGACCCTGCTGACAGCCACCAACCTCCCTCCCCTGGCTGCAGGCTTGAGCAGCGGGGAGAAGTGAGGAGCCTTCTCCTGCAGGCTTTGTGTGCTGATCAGCTGTCAGGTGTGAGCACGGCTGTGGGGTGCTCGTGTTTACACTCTCTTTAGCCTCAAAAGAAACAAGAGGGCTGTGGAGGAAGCAGCCTGGCTGCGTGGGGTCCTTGTGGCTGCAGCACAGGAAGCTCAGCGCCGTGAGCAGCAGCGGGGTGCAGCAGCAGCCAGAGCTCCAGGGGTGTCCCAGGTCAGCGCTGCCATGGGTGAGGTACCTGAGACCCTTCTTTTTTAGGGTTTGGGTCTGTTGGCAGCTGTCTCCCATCCTTTGTGAGCTGCTCGAGCAGCTTTTTCATCTCCCAGATACATCGCTTGCCTTTTGCAGCACCTGTAGGGCATCCCTGCTCACCCAGCGTGTGGGTGCTCTGGTGGGGGACCAGAGCTGGAGCCAAGAGCTCCAGGACGGTGCTGCCTTCCCCTGCCCACCCCGGGCTCTGCACTGCAGCTGCCCAAGGACTTCTCAGTTTCACATTGCTGCTCGCATCCTGCTGATCTGCAGGCCCGCAGAACGCGGCGATCTCGAGGCACTCGTTTGGCCTTTCATTGCCCTCAAAATAAGTGGTTACAGCTCCCCCCGCTAATGAGAAAGCAAAGCTCCAGCAAATACAGAAGATGAAGCCTTAGATGAGAGATCCTAGCTGTTAATTTGTACAGTCACTGCTCTCTGGGGCTCGGGAAACCACCGGTTAAGTCTGAACCTCAGCTGAGCTTTTCCTGTCTGCTTGAAAGCAGAATGTTTTGGAGGGACTCTGTTAATACTTTGTGTGCATCTGTGTCGTCAGATGCCTAAATATGTCCTGGCATAGAAATCTGTCTCAGGGATCTACCACCTACAGTAGGAGGAAGTGGTGTTACTTAAGCACAGAAACAGGGAGTTAAAGGGAGGAAAAAAAAAAGCTCTGCCTGCTCCTGTCTGTTACGTGTGCTTTCTCCAGCACAGAGATGGGGCACTGGAGGCTCATTGAAAAATAACATTATTGGATGCAAAACCTGCGTGCAGCCTCTAGAATGGTCTGCAGCGAGGTAGCTTCAGGATTTGTGATGAAAACCTGTGTGTTTTCTCTCCTTGCAGGAGATACAGGAGATATATTCATCAGGCTGCAGAAATAACTAGAATCCTTGCTTTGTATCATTCACAGCTTTTGTAAAAAGGAAGATCACAACAAGGAGAATCTCTTCAACAGCCTCAACTATGATGTTGCTGCCAAGAAGAGGAAAAAGGACCTGCTGAATAACAAAGCCAAGATTCAGTGTAAGATGTCTGCTTGGGCATTTTTTTTTTTTTCAACTAAGTTGTTGCAGGGGGAGAATGGAAAATGCTTCAGATCTATGGGTTTTTTGGATGGTGCTTGAGAAGTCTTCCAAACTATCTCAAAGGGCTTTGCGCCCATGTTTGACTTAAGTAGGGAACTTGGATACAGCTTAATGTGAAGATTTATGCCCCTGTTAGTAATCCCTGCTCTGAGGAGTTGTACTTGTTGTGTTCAACTTTTTTGTCATTTGTATTTGTCAGGAGGAGGGTAATTTTTTCCTATGGTACATTCAAATGAACCAGTTCCAGTTTTTTTTCCCCCTGTAGACTTCCTCGTGCACAACAGGCTAAATTTATTTTCCCTTCCATATGCATGCGGAGCACTAATCGACGTTACTGGAGGCTACAAGCCTGAACGTGAGCTTTGATTGTATCTCTGCGTGCAGAGCGCGTGAAAAATGAACCGAGACTTCTTCAGCTTGCTCAAAACAATGGGAGCTTTGAGATCTCTGTGCACAGCGAGCGGCCGGGGTCTCAGATGGCACCCTGGGGGATAACGTGGGGATCCTACGGGGACTGCAAGTCCTGGTCCGATTGCGAGATAGGTACTGGAACTGGTGAAGGCTCCAAATGTAAACATACACAGAGGAAATGAGTTACCATTCCCACACTAGTATTAGCTCACTGTGGATCCCCCAGGATTTTGGAAGCAGATGCCAAAAGCTGGCCCCTCTGTGCATTCGGCTCTCTGTGTGAACAAACAAATGTTACCATGACAGTTTTTGGCTGGGTTTTGCTGTGACCTCCTTGTTTGAAAGGGCTTGATGCAGGATCTGCATGCCTGCAGCTGAGGCTGGGTTTGTCCTTGGGCTCTCAGTACCAGGCAGACATACATCACTGTGTCCTTAGGTGGAAAAGGGTTCCAGGAGCACAGCGTGTCCTTCGCAGTCAGGAGTTTTGTAGGATGGGGTTCTCTTATTCATATTACCCGTTGAATTGCCAGTGTGTGGTGAAAGAAGGGTCAAGAGCCCATGTGAAAGTGGGGAGGGAAAAGGGCTGAGCCATGCAACTGCTGTTACTGCTGCAAACTGAAGGAGCAGCATGTGGTGGGTACAGGGAGGCTATTTTGGGGGACAGATGGGACAACTCCTATTTCTGAGGGAAGGGAGGGGCAATTAGAAATAGGAAAATTTGGGTCCCAAATAGGTTTTTCTTTTTTAGCAAGTTAGCTGCAAGCATAAGCATGCTCCTCGGAGCCTGACCTCACTGCTAAAAGCTCTCTCCCACATGCCTGATGTCTCATGACATTTTTGCTCAACTTCAATTTTGACATTCAATCCCAAGCCTGTATCCAAGGTAATGAATAGTTAATAAAATCAATAACAACAGAACCTGGCTGTCAGCCACGCTTTCTGTTTGGTACCAAAGAAGAGGAGGTGCTATGGTATATCTGTAGCTGGCAGATTAAACATTTACAGTCTTGAGCTCTGTCACTGAAACATAAACCCTTTTTAAGGCTCAGAGCTGTCGTCTCAAATGAAGGAGTATGGAAACAAAGCAGCTCAGCAAGTTGCTAGTTTTGGTTTCAAGTTCAGCAGTGTAAACACAAAAAAAAAAAACCCTCCCTTTGTGATAAAAGGGCAGCGAGCATTGTAAGCAGAACAGAGATCCGGCCCTCTGCAGAGTAAAATTAACTGAGCAAAATGTGTTTTTTAAACAGATTTCCACCAAGAGAAGTGGATCTATGTTCATAAGGGGAGCACAAAAGAGGTGAGTAGGTTGTCTGTTCCCTTTTGTTTTTCCACCCGGTGGAAGATAGCGAGCTGATATAAATCAGCAGAAGCTCTTAAGAGATAAGTGGAAGATCTGGCTTGTGGTTGGAATTGCAGTAATGATTTTAAGCCCTAATCATGGAGCCAGGGCTTGCTGCGCAAGGCTCTATACATGTGTTTAAAATATGACTTGTTTGCTTCCCTCGGTTTAAAAAAAAAAAAGCCATTTGCGGACCAAGCCATAATACTGTTCTTGGCCTTCACCCAGCACAGTCCTAACATGGAAAATCATTGGAATTCATCACAACGGCTCGCTTGGGCTCGTGGAGGGAAGCGGCTGCATGAAACCACCCTCTGTGAACTTGGGCTGTATGTTGAGCCCCAGGAATGTCAGGCTCCTTCTCCCTCGTAAATTCTGGAGGGATGGATCCGAGCTATCTAAGGGTCATGAATAGAGCTCGTGTCACTTTTGGGAAAATACCATAACCCACATTGAACCGTGCCCACTCTTGACGTCAGTGAGCGCGGCTCCATGGGAGATGGGACTGCCTCCTCGGGCTGTGAGCGAGTCCCATGCTTTGTACCCATGAGCTTGCTAAATTGAGTTCCCCTGGGTCACGTCTTCCTGATGCTGTCTGGATTCTTGTCTGCCAAAACATGACCCAGACTGTTTTTTTTTTCTTAGCGCCATGGTTACTGCACCTTGGGAGAAGCCTTCAACAGGCTTGACTTCTCCAGTGCTATCCTGGACTCCAGGAGATTCAACTATGTCGTGAGGGTGAGTGAAAGGCCTGGGCTTATCTTGCTGTGGTGGCGGGGAGGGTTCTGAACTGAGCATCTGTCGGGTGATGGGAAGCACCAGCAAAGAAGAGGTGCACGTGGGGATGTTGGGCCTTGCTATGCCAAGTTCTTGATGGAAAATGTGTGGATAGACCCAAAGCCAATGCTCAGATCTGTTGAGATGGGGAGAGAGGGATGTGGTGGTGATGTAAAAGATGGTTATGCTGTCCTTTTTCCAGCAATCCTAATATTTTAAGTTATAGTGAACTGTTGATAGTTTCAGGTAATACATAATTTCAGTTATGCATAAAACTCATGTTGGAGAAGAAAAGTTGTTTCTAATTACTGTATTTTAAGTCCTGCTTCCAAATGCAGTTCCTGTAGTCCCAGGAGGAGCATGGGCTCTGCAGAGGCCACAGAGCTGTGGGGACCTCTTTGTGCACAGGAGGCTGAGATACCTGTCAGCATGAGTGCTGAGGGGGGTGGCGTCCTGTGAAGTGATAAAGGAGAGACCTCATGTTTTGGGAATGAGAAGATGGGCCGAACCTCATAGAAGCTGGAATGAAGGACTTGAGGATCATGGTTGTTCTTAATCTTGAGTGGCAGCAGTTTCAGTGGGTGAGGCATTCTGTTAGCCCTGATGCTTTCAGTCGGAGGGAGTTGTCAGCCCCAGGTTCCTGCCGAGGTTCCTCATAATCTGACTTCTCGTAACAGATCAGGGCTTCTCATTTCCCTCTGGGTTACCAAGAAATGGTGGTGTTCTGGGGTATCCCCTATCCTAAGGGCTGCAGGTGGTTGTGTGTTTATGTACATGTGATCTGCAAATTGATCTCACATTTCAGAATGCTTATCAAGTCTTGGAATTTAATAAGCTTAAAAAAACCCTGTTATTAGCTTGGGGCTGTTTATAAACAGCTCCTTTTCACATTTTGTCAGCTGTTAATCACTGATGAGGCACCAGCTGTTTAGGTTTTAGGTTCTGAAGCAAGCAGCAGTGGTGTTGCTTTCCCTTTGAGTCAAGTGTCCTGGGAAGTCAGGAAGAAATGATCTGAGCAAGTTCACTTCAGTTCACCTGTTGGTTAGGTGACCAGGAGCCTGTGAAAACCCTGTCACCCTGGGAAGGGCACAGACACTGGGGGGGTGATTACCCACCCACAGTGCAGGAAGGAAAATGGTAATTGCTTGGGTGAGGTGCCACAGTGGTGGTGAGGAGTGGGGATGATGCCAGAGGAAAAGCAGGATACAGGTCCACTGAAATTCAGGCTTCCCCAGCTCTGTGAGTTCTGGGACAGCTTGTTTTCCTGCTCGCACAGAGAAGGTGGTTGCCAGGACAGATACTCACTGTTTTCTGATAGTGGATGTCTACGCCACTACGTCATCCTTAGGGCAGTTAGTTTGTGCCAAGGCAATAACCCTTTAAAGATAAAGAAGAAAAAATAAAACATGTATTTGGTGCTCCAAGGATTACCTTGGCAGATTTTATTTTTTTTTTTTACCTTATGACATGAAAAACTCTGAAGACTTGTGCTAAGTCCAGCCTTAGGTCAGACTCTGCCATGTGATGGGCTCCTGCTGCTCTCACAATGTGACAGTTATCTCACAGGGCTGCAGTGACTGGGCAGGAGGCCCATGAAATTTCTTAAAGAGCAAACTCAGATTTCAGTGTAGTTGCTGTGGCCTGGTGGGATGCTCAGGCTGACTTCTTTCTTCATTTTTCCTATGAGGACTTCATAAAAGCGTACCCAACCTGCCATGTGTCCCAAGTAGTATTCTGTATGGAAGTCAATATTTATCCTTGTTTCTACAAATTGAGCTTTTAAGGCTAAGTAGTTCTAAGGATACAGCATTATGGAGAAGTATGAAGCTTTCTAATTGAGGCTGACGTGTGGTTTGGTAGATTTAGGGGAAAAAAAAAGATATTAAACCTGGTACCATGGATCAAATATAAAACTGACTACTTAAATGAAGAGGTTGTATCAGCCAAGTCTCTGGTGAATAGTAGCTCAAAAAATGCCTGATGTGCCAGATTCACTCATGAAAAGCTCTGCCTAGATGTGGATCTTGTTTATGGGTCTTTGCAAACTGCAGGCCTCCTAGAGCACACAGATGAGCAATCTGTCACATGGAAAATGCCTTGAATATTGGCAGGCAGATTTTTTTCCCTTCCCTCCCTCTCCTTGTTCTCTCTGGTTCCACCCGTTGCTCAGAGGATCTGATTAATGTCACAGTATTTACTTCATCAAGCAAATGCCTTCCAAGGAGGTAAGCTGAGTTGGAATGAGGGTGAGGATGCCCACAGGGAAAGAAGGGAGAGAAACGGCTACAGACCTGGAACTCTGCTGGCTATACCCAAACTTTATCAGTAGAGAAAGAAGATAACATTACTGCTGTTAACACAGGCTTTCAGGCTGACCATCAGCTTCCTCTGGCCTTTCTCAAAGCTTTCCCTTGTGAATCTCTCTGAACATCAGTGTTGTAGTGTTTTCAGTACTGATTTTGTTTTACAGAAGTCTAAGGTATTCCCAGATTAAGTTCTTAGTTCCTAACAGTGCACTGATCTGTTACGGGTTCTTCCAGGTGAGGTAGATTTGTGAGTGCTGGAAAGCTTGTCAGACTTTTTTTCATGATCGGGTACCATCAACTGCAGCTGGTGAGCTCATGTAACTGAAGGAGGAGAAATCTTCCAAAATCAATCTTGTCTTGACAGTGCTGATACAGTGCTGGAAGTGCAAGCACAGGTATTAGTGCTGTGACCTGGTCCTTGCTTGACTGTTTGAACTATAGCATGTACATACCCATTACAAGAAAATGTTCCCCTTTTAGAACTCATAAGGAAGGTGCTTGATTGATCCAGAAGACCCAAACTTTTCCATATTGAAGCAGTCCTGATTTCTCTGCTCTTGCAGAATTAACAGACTGGAAGTGTTCCTGTGAGTGTACACAATATAAGCAGAGACGAGTGCCTGCAGCCCAGAAGTTGTTGGTTCTCCTCTGGGAACACTCTGTTCAGATGACAGTGAGGCTTTGCAGGCTGTTTCCTTCAGAAAGATTTGTCATATGATGGTTGTGTAGTAATGTCTCAAGGGAAGGTGCTGTTTCTGATCATAAAAGCTTAGGTCAGGTTAAGCTGCATGGGCACAGCTCTTGGAATAACATGATCTAGACAGCATGCAGCCTGCTAAAGTAGTCTCTTAAATTTGTTTCTTCTTAAGTTTTTATTGCCCTTAGCTCCAGGAGTCCTGGATTTATGCTGTGCTGAAAGAATATCAGCTCAATGCTGCCTCATGGAGATCTGTCAGCACCTGCACTGTAAATCATTATAACTCGCCCTGCTGTTGTTCTACCTCCCAGCTTACAGCCAATGTGACATTTTAGCCACAAAAAGTGAAGGGCTGTGAGAACAGGGGGTGACAGGAGGAAACTTTCATTGCAGTAAGCTTCTCCAAGCAGCTCAGGTGTGAGGAGCCCCAGCCCTGAGGAGCTGGGGGATCCCACAGGATGCAGTCCTCCTTACCTATGGCAGGTGTTTGGGGTATTCTAGTGGGGATTTACACTCCCTCAGCTTGAGGCTTGTGATTTTTAACCACTGCTGGGTTTGAGGCCAAGTTATGCCCTCCTCAGTGCAGTGCAGGCCTGCAGAGGCCTTTCTGTCTCTGGGCGCTGTAAGCCATTTAGGACCTGTGGGCCATATGGCGCTGGATTGCCTACACAGGAGTATGGCAGAAGTTACCAGTTGGCTGTGGGGTGCCTGCAAGTGATGTGCACAACAACGAGTACAGAACAACACAATTTCGGGGCCCTTCTTCCCTGCTGTGTGTCACTTGTTTCCTTTTTTTCTCTCAGTGTGGGGAGGAAGTCCTGTTGTGCTCCCCGAGCTAGTGGGGTTTGAGCAGGAGCCCCATCCCCTTGGTGTGGGGAGGTGAGCAGGATCTTGCCCTGCTGTGGAAGCTGCTGTCTCCTGCCAGCTCTGCAGATGCTCTGGAATAACCTACTGCACCTCTTGCCTTTCCTCCTTGGCTGGTGCAGACCCCCGAGAGCAAACCAAATAGCGGCAAGGTGACAGGAAGGGTTTGCTAGGGGTAGCTACCCAGTCACCTTTTTCAACTTCTGAGGATCTGAAAGAGGGAATTGGGATCTAATGCCGTCTTTCCAGGAGGGGTTACAGACTTGCAGCTCCAATTAAAATCAGCTGGAATGCAATTACTTAGTGTTTCTGAAAAGCAGGCCTTTTAAAATTGCTCTTAACCTTTCCCTTTGTGCTCTCCCCACCATCTGTCCCTCTCAGCTGAGCGTGGGCTGGACTTAATGCAACAGCATCATAACATGCTTGCAGCTCTCCGCTGTTTTTTACCCTACTCAGCATTAATCTGAACCCATCAGTCTGCTTTTAGTCTGTATTATGCAAGTGACAACATTGATTTGTATCACACCGTAGACCCAAATTTGGCAGTCCATTAAATGAGGCTGTACTCTGGGGCTGCGCCAGTGCTAAAAGACCCTTGATTCACTGCGGTGTATGGGGCATGGATGGGTCAGAGCCTGGCTGAACCATATCCCTTACCTGTTTTACATGCATTATATGAGGACAGAGGAATAAAAATGCCTTTGGGGAGTGGAGTAGTCCTAGAAGTACTCACAACATAGTTTTCATATGGAATTTCATCCTGTGTTTATTGCTGCAGGGGAAGGGAGGTGACACGTGACATCAGAGCTGGTTCACTGCACATAAATTGAACCTTGATAAACATGGGCAAGGCAAATCTGAGTCTGTTTGTCTAGTTTGAATTTTGTACCAATTTAGTGTTCTTCAAGGAACTGAGATTTTTATCTTCAGTCCTCGTGAAGAATGGCTCTGGCTTTTCCAGCTCTTACAGTGCTGCGTTACGTGATGCTTATCACTGGGCATATTTCAGTGTTTTCAGCCATGGGCACAACATCGCTAACACCCAGCCTGGAGGAAGCTGTCCCTGTGCCAGCTCCTGAGCGGTGCAATCTGGAGGCAGCAGTTGTTTGTGCACAAGAGCTGATCTGCGTGCGTGTGTGCCTAATGTACAGATGGAGTCTGGCAAGTTGGTCATTATAATCAAAGGTCTGGAGGCTAAATAGGTTAATGTAAGCAGAGTATCGCAGGTTACTTTGGGATGCTGTTTCTTCTACTTCCTCCAGCATCTTCAGAAATTAGGAAAAGATTTAAGACTTCGCAAGCACCTTGCAGACTGCCTTGTTTTTAAGAGTACCTGGGGTCTTTGTTTTGCTGAGAGGCATCAGTGGGCCATCTTGCTCTGTGCACCAAACGCTCTCCAGCTCTCCTGTATCTTGTCCCTACAAAATGAAGCAAGAAAACAGGCAGCCTGCCCTTCACAGAAGTTGGTGCAATGCTTTTTCCTCACTTTTTCAGTCACGCGAGGTGTAAGATATTCATAGAATGTAAACTCAACGCCGTCTGATGATGGTGTTGGCCTGGAAATTAAACTGAAGAAGGCAACTTCACTCTCAGCAACCTCAGTGCTGCTAACTGGCAGTCACATGCCTGAGACGAGCAGAATGGGCAAACGGCTGCACTAATTCCTCTCCCCAAGCTCTCTGCTTCATGGCAGGCTGCCGGTAACTTTATGGATGCATTCCTGTCATTCTTAAAACGGGGCGAACAGTTCAGCTCACGACTTATCGAGTCTTATCAAAAAAACATCTTAGTTACTTGACACAAGTAGTTGCACCTTCCCTGTACTCCCTGCGGTGCCAGCCATGGGATAGCGTAGCTCCAGACGATAAAGGATTAATAAGCTAGTCATGTGGTAACGTGTTGATTGATTTGTGGCATAAAAGGTTTTTCCTTTCCCTTCTAAATTAAAACAGAAGGCTATGTACATCCAAAACAAATGGAACGACATGTGGACAGCCTGTATTTATATAATGCTGGGGGAAGGGAGGAAGGCTTGGAAGATCACAAGCCACATGTTCTGCAGAACATGACCCGTAGGAAACTTCCACGACTCTTCTTGCACCAGCAGAGAGCCCGGGGAGGAGAGGGCATCTGTCCCGGGGGAAATGCTTCCTTCAGCAACTGCAGCCCAAATCCAGCATTCGGTCAGGCAGTCGGGGACAGGAAGCAAATGGCAATCGAAAGTAAAAGTGAGATTTCCCTGGTTCGACGGGGAGTAAACAGGACAAACAGGGAAAGGTGGATGGCTTGGGACTGCTACAGCTGCAGGAACTGCACAGAGGGGAGAAATGTTGAGGGATTAGGGGGTTGTTAGAGCTGGGGGGAGAATTATTTGGTTTTAATACAGCCCTTAACCTTTCCATCGTGGTGACAGCGCTCTGACAAAGCCCATGCAACCAAGGCGTTTGACGTAAATTGCAGGGTCTGATTCTCATTACTGCCCCATCAATAACATCCCCATCCAAACCAGCGCTCGCTCGTGTTCCCTCATGACACTGCTTGTTTATGCCCCAGCGAGGGACGGTGACGTCTCCGCTCATTGTTCCTCGGGGTGAATAGATGCTGTCAGCCTGAGCGCTGCTCTGTGGTTTCCCTGCATCTCTGAGCCATGAAACCAAATTTTTCTCCCCAGTATCATTAGAAGGCTTTTTTTTTCCCCACCCCTTTCTGTGTGGATTTAATTATTTCTCCTCTGCTTTTTTTTTTCCCCCCCGTGCATTAGTTTGCTGTCGCTTCATCTACCTTTTATTTTCATGCAGCAAACAAGTGCCCGGACTGTTTTGCTGTGTCATGTGACGGGAGTTAAGATTAGAAAGGTATCTCTGCTCTCTAAGGCTTGCCACTTCTATTTTTATCCACAGCTGCTGGAGCTGATAGCGAAGTCTCAGCTGACGTCACTGAGTGGCATTGCCCAGAAAAACTACATGAACATCTTGGAGAAAGTGGTGCAGAAAGGTAAGAAATGGAAACACTGCGGGGGAGGAGGAGTTGGAATTAATGCGGTGTGCTCAGCATGAGCGGCATCCTGAGGGATACCCCGTGTAAGATGGGTGAAGAGGGGCCACCCCTGTTTATTTCTGTCGCTCAGTTCCACTTTCCTTTTTGTCAGGGAAGGACTATGTAGAGTGGGGAGAGTGGGAGGAAATCTCTGTATTTTGGTAGGTATCTGGGAGGCAATTCCTCCTTCTCCTACTTCCCTCGCTACCACTCCTTCTGCATCCTTCTGAATCCTATTTCTGACTGCAGAAGAGGCTCCTTCCCCCCAGCCTGACACATCAGCAGCCTCTGCTGCTTTGTCTCCAGATTGTAATATCAAGTGCTCCCTCTCCTCCAGTTTTACTTTCCCCTGGAGGGCTGTCTTCACTTCCCCGGGCTCCTGGTGGGGCTGGATTGCAGCTGAGAGGTGCTGTTTCCCTTCCTGGTGCTTCAGCTCTGACTGAAGCCTGGGAATGGAGAGCACCCTGTTGGGGTGTGCAAGCGTGATGAGGCTGGAGATGCTGAGCATTATCAGCTGGGGTGGTGGGGGAGAGGCACACGCACACAACCTCTCACGTGTAACAGAGGGGAAAGCTGGCTGGTTTCCCAGCGAGGGAAATGGGAAGTGCTCTAGAAAGGATGGGTACCTCATCTGCTTATCCTGGGAAGATCTCCATCTGCTCTCTAACCTGCTGTGCTTGGCTCATGTTTAAGTGCTTTTCTGTCAAAAGAAAAGCACAGGCTGGCTCTCTTGGCCTGTGAGATTACAGCAGGTAACTTTTCCCTGAGAATCATGTAGATTCAGAAAAGGATTTGGGCAGCTTCCATTTTTAACTTTTCCTGTTCCCCCAAAGTCCTTGAAGACCAGCAGAACATCAGGCTAATACGGGAATTGCTGCAGACCCTCTACACATCCCTCTGCACTTTGGTTCAACGGGTCGGCAAATCTGTCCTGGTTGGAAACATCAACATGTGGGTGCACAGGATGGAGACGATTCTCCACTGGCAACAGCAACTGAACAACATTCAGATCACCAGGGTAAGCACGAATCCCAAAGGCTAAAAATAATGTGGCTCCTTCATGAAACCTTCTCATGTAGCAGCTTTCATCTGGGTGATTCTATCTCACTGTACTCCCGATGCAGGCAGAGTGCTGCAGAAGGACCTGAAGTTGCCAAAATAACTGGCTGCATTCCTTGAATCACTTCAGTCCCTTAATTCAAAATAAAGCACTAGGAGCCATTACATGTCCCCAGCCAGTTCAGTGCATACAGTGTGGGATCATGTTCACCGTTACTGGTGGCGTGACTCCTTTCTTGTCTTGAGGCTCTGTGTGAACAGAGCTGGGCAGGAAGCATCTCCTCCTCCTGAGAGTCTTTAGAGATGAGGCCTTGGTATGAAAAGTCAACTCAATTTTTCTAAATCTGAGAAATTGCCCTCAAAACTTTGTTTATCAGATAGTTGAGGTTTTTAGATTTGTTTAATCTGTAAATTAAATGCAAATTTCCAAATAGCTGCATAACTTCATGCTTCCTGGCTGAAAACATCAGTGATTCTTCCAGTAGTCTGGAGCTGCCTGTTCCAGCCAGACAAGTCCTGCTTTCACAACATCTGGTCCTCCAGCAGCATCTGTGGAGCTGGGAGAGACGAGGAGTTGATAAATTCCTAACCTGGCTTTGCATGTGAATTCAATGTGAACTTGCTCCACTTCACTTTGAGTGGGTGCTCACTCCCCAGAGATGTTAAAGCCTTCCTGCTTGCTGACCCCTCTGTCAATGTGTCCATTGTAAGAGTTTTACAGTGAGCTGAGCTGTGAAATTCCCACTTGGCCATACCAAAGCATGGCCAGAGGGGATTTTAAAAGTACCTTTTTCCTTGGTGGGTCAACCAGAGAGGTCCTGCTTTCATTGTTCTTCAGGACTGTGTTTGCTGGGAACATCAAGAAACAGTTTCCAATCCTTTGGTTGTAAAGAGCAATACAGGCAGAAGGATTTGGGAGAAGATAAACTCTGGGAGGTCCCAGGGAGTTTGAAGAACTGCAAAATCCACATTCCCTTAGGTGGTGGTGGTCTCTGCCTTGCTGTGGGATGTGCCCAGCTCTGGGGAGCTGCTCAGTGCCTGGGCACTGCTGGGATCAGCTCTGCTGGGGCATCTGTTTCCCCGCTACCCTACAGGTTTGGTCCTCCTGCTCAACTCCATAATACAGTATGGGTTTGTTCCCCTCATCTTTATCGACTACAAAAACTCCCATAAGCTTTTCAAAGCTCTGCCTGCCCAGATAAAATCGCATCAAAATGTGTTTGTGAAGGGAACTTCTAAGTGTGCCTTTTATGCACACTTAGCGTAGGTTTGCAGTCACTTCTCTAAAATATAATAAAAGTACATGGAGAGCATGCAAAAAAAAATTCACACCTCTGAAGGTGGCTTCAGGTCAAACTAGAACAAAACCTGAGGTGAGAGGAAGGCAGAACAAGCCCAGTTCTGTGCAGCCAGATGCTTACAGCGCTGAGCGCTTCTGGTATTTCTGGAGGGGGTAAAAAGCTTCCCAACAGCCAAGACAGACCGTTTTTAAAAGAAAAATTGCAAAACACTGAGTATGTGCTAGAGTTGTATTAAAAAAAGGCACAAAAACAACTGTCCAGAAAGTGACAACATAATGATCTGCTCTGATCTAATCTGTGTTCTTTCTCCAAAGAAAGTAATGTTTGAAAAGTCCTGGAAAGGAGTACTGAGGGAAAAGAAGTAGCAGATAAGTCCTTGGCTCTGACTCAGAAAACCTGTATGGAGTTGTTTTAGTCACACTGGCTTCCTCAGAAATAAGACATTAGCGTGTGCTTGCTTGATTTTGCCTTTTTTTTCCCCCCCTTGCTGAACCAAGAGCCTCTGAGCACAGTCCTGCCTGCTCTGCCCTGATGGAGCTTGTGTGGGCTGTCTGCAGGAGAAGGCAAAAGCCAGCGTAGTGGGGAGATCACCGGGAGGGGATCCAAGGCTGCGGTGCGCTCCTCCTGCCCCTAAAAGCGACCTCAGCTTGCACTGGCGAGCGAGGACACAACTCATGGGTTTCAGGAATTGATGGAGTGCTGCTCTCTGCCTCCTTTTCCATTTCCAAGTACACGAGTGGATTGCACCAAGCAAACATCTGCGTGTAGCCAGGCAGCGTGCTCCCAGCTTAACCCTCAGCACAAAATGGGAACAGGGGAACAATTGTTTGAGGTTGGTGTTGGAACAAATACCCTCTGGAGGTGGCCGAGATGGTTCAACTCTTCTGGAGAGGTTGAAGCAGACCTCAGCCTTGCTTTGGAGCCATCCAAAAATGATGCCTGGCTTCAGCAGAGGGGTTCTTGCAGGTACCAGCCAGGCTGCGTGGACCACCAGCAGCGCAGGCTGGTCCCTGGGGAAGGTGGGAGCTGTTTGTGTGCAGTTCTCCTCGTGCCCCTGTGGTTTCACATGGCTGGAGATGGGGCCGTATGATTGAAAGCAGCCTCACACGGCGTTCCCCTGCTGCTGCTGGCCCACGTGCTTCTCGTTTGAAACGGTTAACAGCCCTGCCAATTGCCAGGCGGGCGATGTGACTCTGCAGCTTAAAAATAGCAGCATCCCTGCGCAGGGTAAACGAGCAACTTGGCACATCTGTTGGACATTGTTTCTTCCTTGGGGCCCAATCCGCAAAGCTGCCGTTTGCCTTAATAAGGCTGGGGCTGATTTGGGAGCGGCTCGAGCCCAGGTTGTGGTCCTTGCTGATGCTTTGGATCGCCCTCAGGTGCAGGATCTGTGAATCCGTTGCAGTTGGTTTGTCCTGGAGCTGTGCAGACTCGTAAAATAATCCTCTATAGACCAGGCAAAGGTGAACGGGAGCAGAGGTGGCTTTGGCTCTGCAGAGCGTGCTTTGATGTGGCTGAACAGCCTGCGAAGCTGCGGCTGGTGGGAAAAGGGCAGGTTCTTCAAGTGTTCGGAGGAAGGGGTAGCCCTGCCAGCACTGCCTCGGGAATCCCTGCAGGGAAAATCCTGGTTCATCGGCCGCCACTGTGGTTGCAGTGAGATCTTGTGATGATCTGAGCTGAAACAACATTGAAGATACCTCAAATTCTTTTTTTGTGGAGGAAGGTCAAATGTCGCTGTTCAGAAGAAGGAACTACTGCTTATTTTGAGTGTGAAATGCAATATTTAAAAAGCAGTAACTCACCTGCAAGTTAGAAGTACCAGTTTTCCAGCTTCCTCCCAGCTCAATTTTGCTTTTTTTTTTTTTTCCCCAGCCTGCCTTTAAAGGAACCACTTTGACAGACCTGCCACTCTGTTTACAATTAAACATCATGCAGCGGCTGAGCGATGGGAGAGACCTGGTTAGCCTCGGTCAAGTGGCTCCCGACCTGCAAGTGCTCAGTGAAGACCGGCTGCTGTGGAAGAAGCTCTGCCAGTACCACTTCACAGACAGACAGGTACGAGGAGAGGTGCAAATCGCTATCAGTTGCCTGTTGTAACCTGTTAGCGAGTGAATCTGTATGGGTAGGACACTCTTACTTGACTATCTTCTGGATCTGTGGGCTGTGCTGCAAGCTGATAATGCCGGCTGGTACGAGAATGGCTGTAAAGATGATTTATGAGGAGGGTTCTGCATGCCCCAGCAACGATTCCTGAAATAGGAGTCTCAGGAATTAGTCACAGGGTGAACTCCTGCAGCCCTAATCCAGGTGGCAACAACTGCAAGTCATGGTTGCTCGCCCCACGTGTGCAGGGAAAACGTGCGGCCGAGCTCCAGCCTTAACTGCAGTGTCCTAAGGACTGACACCCTCGTGGAGAATCTCTGTGGATGTGGTTTGTGAGCAATGTGTTGAACTCTCCTGCCCTTTAGAGCGAGAAATCCCCTCTGAGCTGTTTCGTGAGTGACAGGACAGTATGTGGAAAGCAGCCCTGCTGCTACCCGAGTTGTACCTGTGTAAAGATCCTTGGCCTTTTGCAGGCTGGTAATCACCCAGGGTCTTCTAAAATTAAAAACAAATGGAAAGAAACAAACACCTCTCTGTTTATGGATGATGTTTATGTGTGGGGTGTCTGTATCAGATCTCTGCACTTCAGGAAACATGTGCCAGATTCCCCTGCTGACTTGCTTTGTTTGCTCGCTCTGGATCTGACTTTGGAAGTGACTCTGGGGAAGTCATTTCTGTTAAAGAGTACATTCAAATCCAATTTCTGCAGCTACTGAACCCAAAAAGAAAGATGGAGGTCTCACAAGCTAATGTGACAAAGAACTGACCTGAACTTTAGAAACTGTTAAATGCAGTTCCACTTCCCTGCCAGCCTGAAACAGTGGCTAATGTAGTATGAAATAGCTCCCGGAGTTTCAGGCCTTCATAGAGTAGTCATCGTGAAATGAGGCTGGACCCTGCTAATGGTATCAGGTGAGGCTGTTGCTGTCAGGAGGCCTGTTAGAGCTGAGCATTCAAAGCAGGAATTTTCCTGGTGTTATGCAGAAACTGTTATGTGACGGGCAGGGATGGTGCTTAACTTAAACTTAAAGCAAGGGAGAGAACAAGATGGGTGGAAAGAACAAACCATGATTTTTTTTGTCCTAGTGCAGTTACCATCATATTATTTGTTTCAGATTCGTAAACGGCTAATCTTATCTGATAAGGGGCAGCTGGATTGGAAAAAGATGTACTTCAAGCTTATCAGGTGTTACCCACGGAAGGAGCAGTACGGTGACACGCTGCAGCTGTGCAGGCACTGCCACATCCTCTCCTGGAAGGTAGGAGGTGGGGGGGGGGCAAAATTGGTTGGGCACCCAGGGCTTCCTCTGACTTCCTGTCACCCTAAAGAAGCTGCAGTTCCTTTGCCTTGCATGATTGGGTGTTTTCCTACATCCCAATCCTCCCTCAACTATTAGGACCTTTTCATTATGCTTCAGGGATTCCCATTTTGTCTACATTGAACAAGTTATTGCCGTCAAAGCCAGAGGGCAGTGAGATGGGCATGCTGTCAGGCTACTCGCAGCAAATTGCATTAGCACTGCCAGCAGCCCCTGCCAGCCATCATGTGGAGGTGAAGGTCTTGGCAGTGGGATTAGCGAGAATGAGAGCTGATGGCTGTAAAACAGCCCACAACACGATTCTGCTGGCCTCTGTGTTGCTATCCACGGCACATCTCTAGATTTAAGCTCCAGTAGCTGATGGTAGCCTCTGCCCTGTGGTGCCTCAGAGAATAGGATGAAAGAGTGAGTAGGATTTTTTCTGGTTTCATTTCCCCAGACTTCACAGTAACCCCTAAAATATGAAGCCCAGTTCTGAGCTGTCTGCTTTGGCAAGAGTGGAAATATTTTGGGCTCCGCTCTGTTTGCAAGCAGGATGTCTGGCAGAGTGGCAGCACTCAGTTGGCACTTAGGTGCCCTGGCACCCTTTCTGCAGTCTCTCTAAATGGAGTTGTTTTCTCCTTTCCCAGGGTACCGATCACCCTTGCACAGCCAACAACCCGGAGACGTGCTCCACCTCTCTTTCCCCGCAAGACTTTATCAACTTGTTCAGGTTCTGAACTTGGCTCACCGCAGCTCACGCGATTCTTACAGGACACTTTATGCCACTGAGCTTGGACACTCCGTTTGTAAATAGTGTAAATATTCATGTTTGTGTGAAGCTCCTGAGTCAAGGAACAAGAGGATTTCAGAGATGAAAGGTGAAATTGCTCGCTGACGTGCAGCACTTAAGGAATACAGAATTCCATAGGACTGGTGTATAAATGCAGCATGTTGTACAGAGTCCCTTTTTTATGATCAGAGTACAAGATACAGGGCAAAACCTTCATTTTCGTTTTTAGAAGTTAAAACTGAATTTGCCCCGCAACCATTTGAGAACTTTTCTGGTTTGTTTCTAATAATTGAGAGAAAGCAATATGAGGCTAGGACTGTTGAACTGTTTCTCCATCTGGTTTTATTTAGCATACGTATTTATAAATATGATGTTTTTAAAAGTATTTATGAAAAATATCCCTGTGACAAGTTTAATAATACTTCTGTTTTTAAAAAGGAGACATTCTGAAATACTTAGCGTTGAACTCTAGCCTACTTACAAAAGAATCGCACCATACCACTTTCTACCTCTAACAGATTGAGTACCTTTCAAACAAAAATCCAGTGTACAATGTGAACTTTTGTATTTTGTACAATGATTTAAAGGGAAACGTTTGTGATAGTAAGCATCTTTTCTTGCATTAATGCTTACCTCTTTACATTAGTTTTCTTGCTCTACTCAGTGCTTGAATGCCTAGATGATAGGCACTGTATAAATACCTAAGACTTTACTCCATCCTCTTTTAATTTGTTGGTTTTATGAAAGACTAAGTAAAAGGGAAGAGAAGTCACGAAGGTGAAGATTGTCTAAAAGGGAGGAAGTTCTAATATAGGGAAACAAAGGACTGGGTTTAATCTTACAACATAAATTCATATCAGCTCCGCTAGGTTAATTGCACTGGATGAATTCCCAAGTGAGGTTAGACTCTGGTTCAAGCCCGTCTCTTCCTGGTTTTCCAACATCCACACACCGCTCTGTATTCCCACTGCTGTCAAGTGAATTAAATCATCTTGGAGCTGGTAATTCATGCGGAGATTTGGGCTGTCGAGTCTAGTGAAGTGATGCGGTTTTAATTCCTCGAAAGACTGGCAGCATTCTGCTTAATCTCAGCCTAGTGGGGTTTAGGATGGTGAGAGACCATAAAGAAAGTGGCCAGCATTTTGCTAAAAACAGCACTCGAGGCTGCGGAAAGTGAGGGATTTCCAATGTGGCACTCAACCTCTGCCATTATCTGTGTGCCAAGGAAACAAAGACCCAGTCTAGTCCCTTCTGCTTCCAGTGCTGGCCTTCTTTATGGGATCTCTTAGGACGAGCCTAGAGCAGAATTTCCAGTCCTGTGGAGCAAGTGGCTAAACTCTGACATCGTTGTGGCCGTGATTTGGCTCACAATCTCTTCAAGTGTAACCTTACGTGCACCATGGCAGAACTAGAAGATTCCAGCTCAAATATAACCATTCGAAAACCTGCGTTGGAAGGTTTTTGCCATTTGCCAGTAGATTTCCTGTATAGCACTTCCTCTGTTGTGCGCCATGGAAGCAGGATACCTCAGGAGGGTGAAAATTAGGGGGTTGTGTCTGACCTTGTACAGAGAATTGAGGAAGAGGAGTACTCAGGACAATTCAGGAAGAACTACTTGAGTTAATATTGTTAAATATTCTGTTCCTTTTTTTTAACGTTTTTATAACTGACTTTCAACACTTTTCTGCAGCTGTTTGTATTTTAGAAAATGGACAGTATTTGCGTTTTTGCAAACTAAATCACTTTGCATACCCTGGGAGAAACTCAAAAAGGGGAAAAAAGCTGCCTCTAGATGGAGCAGTGGGGAAGAAGGGAAGAAGACTGGGAAGGGGAAAGGCAGGAAAAAGCTGACAAGAACTGCTGTTCTCCTGCCTTCCCACAACAAACCCGAGTTTTTTTGCTTTTTTAGAGAACTCTGTGAGCCAGCACAGCCCTTAGCCATGGCCAAGAGCTTGGCAATATCCAGAGATGAGGAGAAAACCTGGGATAGGGAATTCTGTTTTGGTGTTGGTGCTCTCTCCGTCAGTTTGCTGGTAAAAATAAGCCTGTTGATTATGCTCATGTCAACTGAAAGTGATTTAAAAGCTGATACCTTGGGAAAATCATCTTGTGCTTGTTTTGGGGGGATGCTCACGAGTAAGGGAGGCTGGTTTCTGTTTTCATTCCCGCACCGATGTCAGCGGGTAGATGAGGCTGAAATCCACCTCCTCGAAAGAGGATGCTAAGGACAGGAACCTGCAAGTGCATTAAGTATTGCCACTGTCTTGGGAGACTCCTGTTAATTTTCCTGGTAGTGAGAGGACTCGTGTGACCTTCACCGTCACCATCTCCTGCTTCCAGCTCTGACGCAGGAGTGGTTTGGTTTGTAGTCCTTCTGCCCCTGCCCTCTGCAGTGAGTCAACCTCTTGTGATGGAGGTGGCCTGAGCTGCTGGGGGTTTTCGTGTAGGCTGAGGCCGTGCTTGCCAGATGACACTTACCCCAACAATGAGATTGTTGCTCTGGGTGAATTTCAAGCTTGGCTTTAAATCCAGTCTGCACGACAAGACAAAACCCCAGAATTTAGCTGTGGTCTAGGAACCCCTCAGCTCTCAGCGCTGCCTCTGTGAGCCCTTCACTTCTTTTGAGCAGAGTTTATGCCATGTGCCCTGCCCAGAGAGCACAGGTGATGCTGTACTTACGTACAACTGAGGCTCCTATCTGCAAAAGTTAATTTCAATCAGTGTTCTTGTAGCACTGGGTAGATCTTACAGGGTCAGATTGCTGAAGATCAATCTGCTAATCCAGGCACTTGTGTGTTGCTCGTCCCGAGCCCTGGGATGTTGCTGTTGGTGTCCCAAGTAGCAGAAAACCAAGCAACCACTGTGCTGGAGAACAAAACCAGCTGAACAAAAAGCAGAATAGGCCTCAGTCAGTTACTGCTTCCGTCACCATCTTACAGCTCCAGCAGCTGTCAAAGCAGACCCTGACCTCTTTGGGATGCTCGTTGTTCCTCAAGTGGCTGGTACAGGGAGGTATTGTATGAGATTCAGTTTTGTTTTGTGCATTTAAAACAAAATGCTGTTGCATCCAAATACCTCGGCCTAACCACTTGAAAACAAAATGATCAGGATTTAGCAGTGCAAGTGCATCTGCTTGGCTTTGGGTGGCAGAGGAGCGAAACCAGCCAGGATAGCTCGGGACCCCAGACAGGATGGTGTAAGGCTGCTCTCTCGCAGAAAGGACCTTGATTTTAGGACAACTCTGGCAAAGCCTACTGTGAATGGAAAACAGGCTTTTACTGTTTGTATTTTGGAAATCAAGTGTTCTTTTCAAACAGCATCTCATCCTCATGTTGGTGGCTGCGTTCCCATTAAAAATGCATCAGTTCGTATACTATGAAAGGAGGTTTTTCCTCTTTTTTTTTCTGCTGCCAGTGTATGCAAAGAAATGTCTTTATCTTCAGAGGTTTTTAAGCAGTGCAGTGGTGTGGAGCATGGCACCGTGGAGAGGAAAAACAGATCCGTGCAGGGGAGGAGGCTCAGAAAGGGAGAGATCTTCCTGTTCCAGCTTTCTATAAGAGGCAGGTGTTTGGAGTTTGCTTTCATGTGATAGCCACTTCAAGAGGCACCGTTTCAGCTGTACATACCTTAAGCCATTTGTATTAACTACGGTATGGTGAAGTTTGATCCTAAAATGTGTGCACCTCCTCTTACATCATTTGGGTTTCTTTTACCAGTTGTGAAAGCTTCTAGGTCCTTTTGTTTTGTGAAGTGATTAGAAGAACTTCTATTGCTCTGAAGACATCGCTTTTTATGTAAGCATTTAATTGCACCCTGCCACTTTCTGTATATGAGAATATCTTTTCTATCATTTTTCTCTGCCCCCCAGGTTTTGAGCTGTCTGTGTTCCTGTTTGTTTGACTTTGATTGCTCTTGCAAAGCTCTCTCCTCCTAGAACACACACAGGTACTACACCAGCTTTTCCTGCCCGGAAAGCTCCTTGGCCTTTAGTAGCTGAAATTTGATTTAGAGCAGGAACATTTCAGGTTCTGTTATGTAGCTAGTCGATCAGACGTGCTGTTTCACGCTTAGGCGCTGTTCAGTGCAGCGAACCAGGTGCTGGGGTTGTTCTCAGAAACCTGTTGCACAGCTTCCCCACAGATCAGCACCTTGCCAAAAAAAAGAACTAGCTTTAAATTAAAATGCCACTCTTCCTAGCTGGCCTGTTAGCAGAAGCAGGGACCCAGCGGAGCTGATGGCTGCTCAGGTTGATGAAGACTGCCAGTTACGAGGTTGGGGACTGCGATGTTCTGCCCGTGCTGCTGTTTGCAGCTCATTGCTTGTCATGATGTTCATTAAAGGCCCCGAAGACACAACCAGGTCTCCGTGTAGCTGGCAGCGTGTGGCTGCTGGGGCATGAGCTGCTTTTCCAGTGCCTGATTTCTATCCCCCATCTTCCTCCAGTGATTTCACTGGCAGCAAATAGGCCTTGCAGGATTTGGCCCTAGGGAGGATAAATCTTGTCTTTGCCATAGGTAGGCTGCTGTATTAATATCGTGAACACCAGAGAGATTCCCCCTCCGGTGGCCAAGCATTGCCTTTCCTCCCCCTGGGAGGGCAACCGAGGGCAGACCTTGCATTTCCTTAGCTATTACGAGCGGTGCGGAGCACGAACAGGTCTGCTACCAAGGGAGCATTTTAATTTGAAATGGCAAATATGCTCATCTTTAGGAACTATCTGCAGTAACTATAAATACTTGTATATGGAAGAGAGTGTGTTCTGTTTTGTTTTTCTTTACAGTTGTAAGTAGAGATGATATGAAGTGAAAGGCATCCCTTGTATAATACGACTTCTGTTTAATATTACTGTGTGGTTAAAATCCTTCCTTATAAATTTGCACACTTTTTCCTCTTCCCTTGCATGTTCAGCCCTGATTTTTACAGCTGTTCTGTGCAGACAGTAATGTA